TTATTGAGTGCGTGTCACATGCCAGACCCTGTCCTGGGCACAAGGAACTTCATAGAGCCAGAAGAGGTCACATCTCTTCTCACATGGAGCTAATAATGTTTCCCTGAAGAGCCAGGCAGCCTGATTTACATGCAATGTACTTGTCAGAATTCTACAGTTCTTTTTCCTTCTTCGCACCATCTCGCATTTTCATTCTAACAGCTGTAACAGGGAAGATGGGGAACGAGTGGAAGAAAAGATTGGAAACCTGACTGAGATGAAGCCCCTTTAATCATAGTCTTAAAAAGAGAGGAAGATTCTAATAAGTCATCCATTCCACTATGTGGCTAAAAGCCAATTGTTTCCTTATGGTAGCTTTTTCCAGACTTTTGCACGTAAGGCACATTTTTGGATACTAAAATTTATATGGCATATTGAGGAGTGGGATTAGTCTACACAGTTACAGAAGTATTTACTCGATAAGCCTTTTCCAGAAGTCAACAAATTACAGTATTCAAGCCGAACCTAGCACATCCATCTTAACTTTTTTAAATAAAGTTTTATAGGACCATCAGTTCATTCAAATATCATCTATGGATACTTTAACTAAAATGCCAGGGCTGAAGAGTTGAAACCATGCATTCTACAAACTCTTTTGTATTCATAACCTGGTCCTTGCTCTTCAGCTTAGGGTTGCTGTTTGAGAACAAGAACTGACTGCTCTCCATGGACACCCCAGAGGGCCACCCCTCCTTTCCTAGAAACAGCCAGACATTATCCTAGGACTCCTCTTCCTTGCAGAAAAACCTATCCAAATGACCCATTCATGTATTTGGTGACAGACACCACTTAGCAGTATGTAGGCTTTAAAAAATTACATATGATTCAACATTTTAGCAACTCCCTTTTGATGACTTGCTGGGTCAGCTAGCTTGAGAAATACAGCCCTGCAGTATCCACTTCATCCTTCACACCAGTGCTCTTCAGATATTTCTGTTCCCACACCCCAAAAGAGTTTCCATAGCTCGTAGGCACTCCCTCCCACATTTCCTTCATTGACATCTATAGCTGTTCTTCAGTTTAAGTAGTCGTCACAGATATAATTTCTAGCCTGTTATGAGGTAGGACATTTTAAGATAAAATGGTTACATCTCTACTTGGATCCAATGCAATAGAAATTGGATGTCACCCTCCTCTATGCAGTGGGTGCTGTGGGATGTCCCCCGATACCCTTCGCAGTGAGCGCGTCTGTCCCCCAGCTGCCTGGAGAGTGGGGCCACACTGAAGTTTCTCCACAGGAACAGCTTTTGAAGAAGGCATCACCCTTGACTGAAGGCTGTGCTCTCCCCTGAGAATGCAGCCTATATCCAGTGGCTGTGTGTTGTGGAACCTAAGAGGCCTGGCCCTTCCCTGCTTTGGGCCCTCCCAGGCCTCCTTGGCCCATCTTTTCCTTCAGCCCAACTCTGCTTCTTCAGAGCCCCAGTGTCGTCCCCGGGGCACGTCTAGGTGAGCTTCCTGCATACTCACCTCTGTTCTGGAGCATTTCCTGGGGAGCCTGGCCTCAGAGCTCCACCTTCAAAAGTACGTGACTAAAACTCTTCTTCAGCAGTAGAAAATCTCATGCTACTTTTTTTCTTAAACTTAGATTTCCATTCCACTCTACCCACAGAATATTTTGCTACTATAGTGCTTTTTAATAGTTCAAAGTCTTTTATTAATCACCTTGTCATACCTCCTTGCCACTCAATTACTATATATATTAAAATTTAATTTTAAAAGATTTCCTATGACTGTAAGGTTTTATGTGTTAAAATGTCTTCTGGACTGAGCTATCTTTACAATTATTAGCAACACACAGTTGATCATGACAACATAAATACATTATACATTTTGATAAATATTACACATAAAAAGTAAAAGTAGAAATGCATTTCTGAAGATAGTGATTTCTATTTTTAATTAGTTTGTATATGTGTTAGGGAATATTTACTCCGAGAATAAAAGTGTTCAGCATCAGTTCTGTTCCATTTTGAGGGTTTTTTAATAGATGTAAAAATACAGTGCCCATGGAAGTCATGTAAATAAGTAGATGGGAATGGAAGTACTTTGTTGTCTAGTGTAGCAATTCTCTTTGAACTTTTATTTTACTAAAAATCATAGACTGATAAACTGCCAAAAATATTTTAACAACTGATGAGCTGACAATATAGTCAGATCCTCATTTAGTTTTATTGAAAACAAGGCACTGTAGACATCTTGGATTCCAGAAGGATTTGTCAATCAGTAATTAAAGTTATTCCCTTTCTCAATCCCTATAACCTATTTTCTCTCATTGGTGCCATCTAAGGGACCACAGAAACAGTAAAACTGGCAAGTGAATGCAGACTTGGCATCTATCATGAACACAGGGTGGAGTATTTATTGGCAATAGGGGAGACCTTGACTACCAGATAGTCCTGAAGCCCACTTCCAAACAAAGCGATCTGGAGGTGAGTATCTCCAAACTAGCCTTGCCAGAGAATCCCACAAAAAGCCAAATCTTCTCTTGTGACTACACTCACATCAGTTGGAATCCCTTTGTGTCACATTAGTGCTGAGCTTTGAACATCTGAGATATTTCTCCCATAATTTTTAAGTCTTTGGAATAAGCTTTAATTATAAGTAGATATTTAATAAAGACCAGGAAATACTTGCAAGGGATTCAGACAGTGGCACCAGCTTATCTGTCCTGGGAATCCTCCTTCTATCTCATTTCCCTAATAAACAGTGGGGCCCTTGCAACACTCCTGAACAGTCTGGGTCTTCTGGAAGGAATCACAAAAGGCTCCTGTACTCTCAAATACCAGCCTTATATCTCACAGAGTGATTTTCCAGTTATTTCAAAGAGCACAGTTTTCCTATCACTATGCATGATATTACAAGAAAGAATGAAAAAAATAATGAACAAAGGAAAAAATAAAGAAGGGTGTGTTTGAGAGTGACTTTTGAAGAATTTCAGCCATATTTATTCCTTGTTCTCTTGTACCTCTTCTGCTAGCCATGGTGACAGCAATTTTTTTTTAAATGACACAATTGAGTGGTAGAGAAGCCGAGGAGGAAATATTACCCAAGGTCAGAAGCGGCCTCTTCTGGGCTGTCCTTGAGCCCAGTGGAATATTTCACTCACTAGATAAATCTTCCTTGAGATTTTCTTTTCTTCATGCAAACAATCATTTTCCAAGGGCAATAATTGTGGCAAAATTATTGATCACAGAAAGGTTAAGGAATTCAACTATACTTTAAATTTACAACACAGGAGTTTGTAAGGCCATAGAAAAGTCTTCCCCCAAGAAATTCATGTAGAAAGCCTAATTCTTCCTCCATTTCCTTTGGTTGTCTACTTTTCTCTTGAATTGTTTAAATAATCTGTTTCTTTGTTCCCTTCTCATGAGTAAAGATATTAATGAGATTTTTCCTTTCTACTAGTAAACAAAAGAATCATGTGGTGTTTCACATGTAGTGTCTTAATATATGATACCTCTTCCTAAAAGTAGTATATGTGATTATTTTAAAGAAGTCTCAATTTAGAATAAGAAGACCTGAGATTGACCATTTAGCTATATTGAACATTTGTTTAATTATCTATTAAATACTGGGAACAACTTTTCTGACATTATCCTGTGTATGTGAAAGATGTATATAATGTAACCAGTGTAAGTACATACAATCAAAATACAGACCAATAAAATTAATTCTCATTTTTTCCTGCTTTTATAATGTAACTTTGTAATAAAAGAACACAAAAGATTTTACAAGCTTAGTCTTACAAAAAAAGGAATTTGCATGTCATATCTGTAAACATATTATTTATTTATGTATTTAATAATGAAGAAAATAGAAAAAAACAGCTTGGTAGAACACACTAATAATTTTATAAACATAGAATTTGTAGAGAAAGAATCAAAACATCACAACACTGAATTTCACAGTTAAACCCACATGCAGATTGTAGAATTATGTTACAGAATGTTTTGATGTAATGTGTTAAATATAAAAATAATCCACTGCAATTTCCATTTAGCACATTGTACAAAACTCATTTTTAATGTGATTAACAAGTTTACAGTCTTTCTCTTATGGTGCTATATATTCAAAGTGCTCTGTAACATTGAGGTTGAAGCCAAGGAACAAATACTATAGAGCTCTATAGTAATAGAGCCCCAAAATAAATGAAATTAAATGTAAAGTACATGAAATGCACTCATAACAAAAGACAAATGAAGAAGATCCATGATGTGGAGTAATACTTTAAGCCAGAGTGGGCAGAAGTACTTCTGCATACACACTCCAATACAAGCACAACATAAACGAGCATAAGGTTGAATTTACCCCTTTATAATGATTACCATTTCCTAGAGAAAATAAAAGAGCCATGGAGGAAGAAAAAAGACAGAGACACCAGAAAAAGAAATGAGATGGAGAGAGGCAAATAAAGTTCACAATTCTCCAACAATTCATTTTTTCAAATGAGACTAATCCTCAGTATCACCAATAGTCCATGAGAGCCGTTTTCAGACTTTGGTATACAATCAGAATTACCTCGAGGTCTTATGAAATCACTGGGTGTTAGGATCTACCACCATTTATAATTTAACAGATATGAGAAGAAGCCAGAAACAATTTCTAGGTGATCTTGATCTTCATAATTAAATGACCAATCCATTATCTGGTCCACCATGCCTAGTCCTGTATATTTTTTGAATACTGAATGGCGCCATCATTGGTTAAGACGAAAAACACATACAACAATGATATGCCTGGATCTCACCTACAAAGGAATGTGGATAAGAATATTAAAGAGCCAGCATGGATTGTATGATGACTGAGGAAGTGGTTCTCAACTTTGGGTATCTTGCAGAATGAAGTAAAAAGTGTGTGTGTGTGTGTGTGTGTGTGTGTGTGAGAGAGAGAGAGAGAGAGAGAGAGAGAGAGAGAGAGAGAGAGAGAGAGAGAAGACAGAGAGTGAAACAAAACATAAGGCAAATATTTTAAAAATTTATTACAGTAAAAGACACATTGCTGTTAATCCCCCTCGGAATACTCCCCATCACTTCAAACACACTCACCCTGTCATTCTTGCCACTTTCTGAAGCATGTCTGGAGTCCTCTTTTGTGACTGTATTTAGTTGTGCTGTCTTGGTTGCCCAGGTCCTGAACAGATTCAAAATGGTAATCTTTCATGGTCATTTTGACTTTGGAGAAGAACCAGAAGTTGCATGGTACCAGATCCAATGAACAAGGTGGGTGAGGACACACAGTAATGTTTTACAAGCCAGCCTTTCAGTTGGATGGCACTCTGCAGCAACCTTCACCATATTTTTTATCATATCACATAAAAACAAACAAACAAAAAGACTTCCAGAACTGCTTCCAAAAGTAGCAAGAATGATGGGTAACTATTTTCAAAGCAATGGGGAGTACTTTTAGGGGAATTAATGGCAATGTGTCCTTTACTGACACATGGATTCATCTAAAACTAATGAAATCTGAAGTTTTTGGGTGGAGTCCAGGGTTGAGTCATTTACGAAAGTGCCCTGTGAAAGACTAGTGTGGAGACTGACTGGAGAACTGCTACTTTTTCACAATTCTTTTCACCTCTCATCTGGAGAAAAGGTGAGTCTTAGAGGAACAGTTATGTGGATAACGTCAAGGAAATCCAAACCCCTAGTGCCATGCTGATCCTCAACTAGAAAACAATAACAGGGGTAATGTAGAAAGCAGCTGTGCCTGTTGATTTATGGTGGGCTACAAAGTTAGCTCACAAGTGTGAAATGACTGAACTTGGGAAGGCACGTTGCACGCTCATTCACCCAAGTTTCTTTTCCACTCAGTGACATCAACTAGAGTCCCCCAAATGTTAGCATGTGTGCTTAGGGGCTACATCCAACTGATATAATTATTATATTCATTCCACTTAGCTACATTATTTACTACTTTCATTTAGATATGAGTGGCCCCATAAATAAGGCCCGCAGGGACAAAACACTGCAAGCTGCCATTTCACTAGTCTCCCTGAGAAAGGAGAATTTCAGAAACACATACAAAACAAAGGGCATTTTAAAATAAGGTTTCCACTTTAAATTACTGCTCTGGCATACATAGAACGAAGAGTTCCATGTTTCAGTAAATATACATCCAATGGGATCCTTTCTGGAAGGACCTAGAGGTTTGAGCAGTCTTTTCTTTTAATTTTTCAATTTTTATTAGTAAAGTTAAGATGCATAGTAACTACTTTCATCTTGGGAAAGTGCTACATATACATAGTGTATCTTGAGCCTTTTTCATTTTAAATTTATTTTTTTCTTAATTTTTAATTACTGTATATTTTGTGATACATACTAAATACATCCATCATGGGAACCATCTCAGAAAAGCAGTGACTTAAAAAAGAAACAAATATTCAATCTAACATCCTAGTGAGATGCTTGAGTGACAGTTTCTCCAGGCTTTATGTCTTCCAGAAGACACTTTTAGAAGATCCTGAAAAATAATAAAAAGAATAGCAGTGCTATGGATATAATCATTCAAAATAGCAGAATACTGAGCACTTTCTGTTTTCTAGAAGGTAGATTGTGATCGGATCAAGGAAATGAGGCTGTAAGGGAATCGTTGAAAGGCTAGGTATGCAAAGATAAATGGTGGTCTTTAGCTCTACTTTCAATATTTACCTATTTCAGCAGTATATATTACATGAATAAATATTTATACCTTTGATATAAAACTTACACATACATATGTTGAACTTTATAATACTATAAAAATAAATGCATGGAGCCCATTTAAAGGCCAGGGATCACTAACAGCCATTGTTCCTTCCTTTGAAATGCTAAAGAATTCTAGAATCCCAGAAGAGAGTTTGATTCTTTATTTCTGCGGTCTATACCTTGCGGCACATTCTCTGGGTTTCATTTTTGAGACCTGGACAGAGACACATGGATCTCACTACTTCGGGGAGCTGTATTTGCAAAGACAGGGCGTGATTTTAGAGTCAGGAAGGAATCTACATGGGTTCCTGTGTGTGCTGTGGTCCCTCCTCCATCTCCTGAGCCCTTCTCTTCAAAAGCTGGGACCAAGTGGCACAGAACTGAAGCCCATGTGTGCAAGCAAGCAGAGCAGACACCGACAGAAGAGACATCCCCGCCCCAAGGAGAGGAGACTCATGCTAGGGCTTTTATTCCATCCTGCGAACAGATCAGACTCCAACTCACCATCTGCTGTGAAAGCTCGTAGTCCTTCCTGCTGTTCAGGGAACATCCGCATTCTCACTTTGCCTTTGCACCATACGCTCTTGCTTCTCTTGGGTTCCAGAGAAGTCACCGGAAGTAATTCTTCTGGACTTCCCCGGAAGCATGGCCACCGCCTCTAGGCTCCCTTTGCTGGGCTCTGACTCTCCCTCTTGTGATGATTCTTCACCTGTCCCTGCAACCTGCCCGGGGTCCCTACTCCCTGGTCCTGCCTCCCCCGCTTGTGCTGAGCCTGCAGGCAGAGTCACCCCTGCTTCTCCGCCTTCTCCATCCTGTCCTAGCCTCAGGGCCTCCCCTTCCCCCCTGGAAGGTCCTGGAAGCACTCCCGCCTCAGCCTGTGCTATGGGAGCCACTGTCACCTCTCCCCTGCTCGACACCATCTCCTCTGCCACCACCCTCTCTGAAGCTGCTGTTTTCCCTGGTGCCTTGTCCCCCTGGAGCCTGGCTTCCTCCCCAGCAACACCTGAGTAGGAAGCAGCTGAATTTGCTACTGCTTTCCCCTCCGCTGTCCTCAAATCTGCCAACACCTCCTTCCTCTCTGCTTCTGTCCCCTCCACTCCTCCTTCTTGCAGATCCTCCCCAGCCATCTCCGTTTCTCCTCCTGTGGCTCCTTCCCTCTCTGTGCTGCTGTGCTTCATCACTTCTGTCTCCAGTGTGGACTTTGGAGCCCCCTCCTCCTCAGGGTCCTCAGGCTCTGCTTCTTCACTGAACTTTTTCGCCCTCCGGGGATCTCCCTCAGGCACAGCCTCCGGGGTCACCGTCATGGCCTGTACTCCTTCTGGCCCCTGCGGAGCCCCTTCCTCACGCCTGCCCTCTGGCCCAGCAAGGCCATCTTGGCGGAGCGCCGCACACTCCTCAGCCTGTGCCGTGTCTGGGACAGTGAGGTCGGGGACCCTCCTCTCGCTCGGGGGCTCACTGCCAGGCCCCTCTGATGGCCCCTCTCTTCCGTACCCAGGCCCTTTCTCCCGCTTTGAAGGGACCCTGGTCGCCTGCCCTTCCCACTCCGCCCAGCCTTTGTGCTCTGTGTCTCCGGCTTCACTCAGTCCTTCTCCTCCTTTCCCTCTCCTCAGTGCTGTGACCTTTTCAGGTGACTTTTCAAATTCAAGTGTTGCTTCCAGCAAATTAACAACCCTTTCTCTCTGGGAATCTTCCGGAAGCCTTGTACCTTCAGTCAAGCCAGTTGCTTCTGTGGGGTCTACAGCCTCACCATCAGATTCCGTTTCATTTCTGGGTGCTTTCGCCTGCTCCTCAGATCTTATTTCCTTTGTTTTTTTCCTCTCTTCCACTTTACGTTTTTGCTCTTCCTCTCCCGTGTCTTCTGCCTTCGGGGCATCTGCCCACGTCACCACTTTCTTCTCAGATCCAGCTTCCCTCAGAGATGCGGGGGGGCTCCCGGGTTTTCCCCTCTCTCTTGCTACACCTAAGAGCTCCCGTAACGTTTCTTTCCTGCCTTCTTTCCCATCAGGCCCCAGCTCAGGCACAGTCTCCTCCCTCACGGTGGCTTCCTGGGGAAGATCTTCAAGGCTGCCATTAGCAGTTCCCATGCAGCTTGCCTCAGCCGCAGGCCCCGCTGTTGAGGAGCTTGAAGGTGTTTCCGCTTCCAGAGCTTCCGTCGCCTCTTTGTCTGCCTTCTGTCCCCCGGTGGTTGCCTCTTCCAGCCCATCCTCTTTCAAGGATGGTGCGTCTTCCACAGCCCCCACGTCCTCTAGCTCTGTGGGTGCCTCTTCTTCACCTCCGTCCGCATCTGGCCTTTGGGACGCTGCCTCCCTGACAGCCTCCTGGTTCTCCGCCTCCCCCATTCCTGGAGTAGCAGCCCCTCTCAAGGTGACCACCTCCTGACGGTGCCGGAAGCTGTTGGGAAGCACTGGCTCCCCTGAGCCCTGCTCCCCTGTGGGAGAAGCTGCCTTTTCTGTCTGCCTCAGGGCCCGTTCTTCAGGTGCCGCCTCTCCACTCAGGCTCATGGACTCCCTTGCTGCTGCTTTTCCCGTGAGGTCTAACTCCTCTCTCCCCAGCCTGCCATTCTCATCCTCTTCTGCCTCTGCCCCACTTGCTAGCCCCACAGGGGTCTCTCTTGGCTCTGTTAATTGTTCGGCTAATGCTGGCTGCTCTGCTGTGGGCTTCCACTCCCCTGAGGGAAACTCTGCAACCCCTGCCTCCTCCAGCTGGGCTGCATCTCTTCTGTCTTCCATTAGCTCAGCATCCTGATGTTGGGGACCTTCGTCACCTTCTGGTGCTTCTTTGTCCAGATAATGTGTTTCTTGTGTAATTTGGTTGGGTTTCTTGTTTGAGTTCAGTGCTGCCCTTTTCTCCATCACCAAATTCCTATTTGGTGCTATAAAAATAAGATTAAAAGATAAGATTACTTCAATCAAAACAGACAAAGGAGAAGATATTACATATGACCTTATGTGATACTTATTTGTCTCATAAGAGATTTACTTGTTGTCAAGGAGCCGTGCATGTTATGTATGAAACATCAGCTAGGTTAGTTCTATGGTGCTATTGACTATAATATACACCATGGTTTAATTAGGGCCTTTCATTCTGTAAAGAAATGCTTTCCGATTTAATGGATATACAGTTACTATACATTGATATTAAGTTAGGCATCAGAAATGATGGAAATACGTAAACAAAAACCCCTCAATTCCTGATGCTTTGAAAACAATAAATTCTCTCTCTCTTTCTCCCCATATATGTGTACACACACATGCCTACATCCTAACATTCTGCTTTCCCTTGAAATAGAATACTTGCAGAAAATCCAATAAAAATAACATTCAATTTTCTTTAAAGCCATCATTTCCTATAGCACCATAATATGACTGTTTTCTAACTATGTTCTGCTGCTACTCATGTGGGCGTACAGCAACACAATCATAATACAGAGATGGTAATTGAATCAACTATCACACCCATATTTTAAAGCTACTATATCTAGATTTAGTCATCAAAAAACTTTTCAGCTCAAAGTAAGACTTCACTAAAGACTCCAATTTGTATTACAGGTCAGGATACCTACCATCGACATTCAGAAATGGATTTGCCTTTGGCAAAATAGGATCACAGGGTAAGACAGACTTTGTAGTCTAGGACAATTTTCAACTTAAATGACCTTCATGAAATATTTCATAATTCTCACCAATGATTCTCTGGCAAATCTGGGGATACTATTGCCAGTATAGGTTTACCACATTTTTTAAAAGGTTTGGAATGAATTCCTTATTATTTAACAAAGCCATATGTTCTTGAGTGATCCATGCAAACTAAGGAAATGTGTGTCATGTCTAATTATCCAGTTTTCCAACCAAAGAATAATAGGGAGATAAAAGCTTCAGAAATCCTCATCCTAATAATTTCTATTACTCTGTTCTTTTTCTTTTATGAAAGACACTGGGCTATATACTATAGGTCAATTATCATACCAAGGTGTCAACCTTTAAATTATGTAAACTTGCAAAGTAAGTAAATGTGTCTTCCTCATCTTTTCTTACCTGCTTATTTTGTTGGTTATCTTACCTGCAATAGCTTCACTGACAATCTAAGAGACATCTAAAATCCAGTTCTTCCCTAGTCTTAACACTCCATCCAGGACTGTTACCATTCCATTTTTTCTAATATAAAACATGGCTATCTTTAGTGGGATTCCCCAAGTCTCTTGCCAATCAGTATGATATACCATTTTTTGGTAAGACAATAATAGCTAATATGAGATTTCACTTTAAAAATGTATTTGGAAGGTAACTTTTGTTATCTTCTTTCAAAGGAGTAAAACAGAAATGTCAGATCTATCATCAGGGCTGAGGTTGACTTTTGTAGGTAGTCCTCTGTGTATGTCACAGAGATTATTTCCTAAAGTGTATCTAAAAGCTCCCAGAAGGAAGCGTAGAACCAAGCTGTTCAGAGAACATCTAGGAAATTCATGTTGACTGTTTTATTTCATTACAGATCATTGCTGAATTTAGACCAAATTATATTGAAGCAAGAAACAATATGTTCTCTCTAATAATATATCTGTTGCTATCCAAATTCCTGCATGAAAGTTTTATTAAAAAGTCAGTTATGAAAAACATTTAAATAAAATCCTCTGCCTTTCTAAGATGTCCTCCAAACGTATGGATTAATTAAAGAATATTCAGAAATACAAGGGCGTAAAATAGCCTAGTGACCATGTAATAATATACTATGCCTAAATTCTAGGAAAGAAAGTTATAATGGCTACCAGCTGAGCTATTATATGAACACACAACACAGCACAACACAACAGAGAAGTTGGACAGGACATTCCTGAAACAAGGGATTAGGAGTAATTGAAGCTTTTCTTAGAAATACCAGTGCAAAAACACGGCATATGACTTTGATAGTAACCTCATAAGAGTTTTTCCAAACCTTGAGAAAAAAAAATATTTGTGAGCAAGCAGCCTTCACAAATGGGCAATCTGATTCAGTGGGAAAAGTGTGTACTTGGAAGTCAGACCTCTTGAGGATGCTAGCTCTGCCACTTGCTCATTGTACGCCCTTGGGAAGTCACACCTGTCCAATCTTTCATTTCCTGAACCCTAAAATGGGATAGCCATCCTTAATTCACAAAATAGTGAATGAGAGAGTTCATGTGAAGTGCTTAGTACATTGCCTAGCCTGCAGCAAACTAGCAAATCTTCCTTGCCCACTCTTATCCCATAGCTTGCTAGCATCTAGACTTTCCTGTTTGAATTAGATTTGATCAATCACAACTACTCCAGCTGCTTTTCAAGATAAATGTTTGGGGAGCTACACTAGAACTCCTTGGGTGAAATGTCCCCACCAGATCCCTCTCTTGTAATTCACCCCACTCCTTCCTTAAGTGTCATCTGGCCCTCATGATGCACAGTAAGAAATGGAACTTGTCTTGTGGTTTCTACTATTGTCCATGAAGCCATGGCTGGCTAAGCTGTTCACTTAAAAATAGGATGAAATCTCAAATGCCTCGTGGCTCTTGACTACAATCATTAAACATTGGAAGTGGCAGTAATACAGTCATATAATGCATGTATTTATTCATTAGTGTAGTCAGGGAATGAAAAAATGGCCACACATATACACATACATATATTCACATCAGAAAATTCACTACATTCACTGCATTCACTACAGATGAGAAGACCTGATTTCAAAGACATAAGAAGTTTGCCAGATAATGCATGAGTCATGGTCTGTGGAATCAATCTCTAAGTGGCAATCTTGCAGATGGAATACTCATCACCGAAAGCCAAGTCACGTAGTGATGGCAATGAATTCTTTCCTAATTAAGAGAAGAATGAGAGGTTTAAATGAATCATTGTGAAATATGATGTGTCTTGGCTCTTGACGTCTCCAACTGGGTCAGGTACAGCAAATCCACCTACCTGGCCCACTAACTGGGAGGCAAGCTATGAATCCAGGCAGACCTGAAAATCTCCGCCAGAAATTAAGAATCCAGAGTCCTTTTTTTCATCATAGGCAACAAGGTAATAAAAAAAAAATACTATTCATAGCTAAAGTCAATTTCCAAGTTCCCTTTAGGTTTCTCAGCCATCTCCTGCCATTGTGTTCATTAGATGAAAAGAAAGAAAAAAAATAGATGCCAGGAAGAAGACCTGAGACGGAAATGGGCTGTCTTTTGCAGAGGATTTCTGAAGGTCTTTTCTCGGGATAAGGCGCCCTTACCTCCACACATGTCGATCTCCAGCTTCCTCCCAGGCGTCCCCCAGTCATCTGAGCTGCCATCACCAGGCTGGGCCTCATAGTGGCTGTGGCAGCCAGGTACCAAGGTTTCGCTTATTATCTGTCCAACTGATTAGAGATCATATAAAGTATCAAAAGGTACAAAAACAGGTCATGGGAATGTTGCTGAGCTATTTCATATCATTTAAGCAAGTGGGGTCCATTTAAATGCACTCACATTAAAATGACCTTGTTTCAAAATCTGTGAAGATTAAACAGCTCCCATGCTATGATTTCAAAAAGAAAACCATGTACCAAAGAAGAGCATGAAGTAAAGAGATACATGCAAAGGAATGCTTGCATTAAAAAGATGACAGCCAGAAGCGGTGACAGTTTGCCAAATGCACATGCAATGAAATGATTGGAAAAGCAGTCTTAGTTGCCTTTTACTTTGTAGGAATGGGTGTTACGGCTTTTATGACACTAATCACCACTGCTCTTTTAAATTGCTGAAATGACCACAGCTGACTACACTGTGCTCATTTCATCCATTAGTAGATCTTAGTGATTTGACCCCCTATCTCACTGCATTTGGACAGAAGCAAAAAAAAGCTATTACATGATTCCTGTAAATTCGATGGTAAAAGCTGATGTAAAATTCCTGTTATCTGCAGCTGATTACTTGCATGGACTTCAGGATCACAAAGGCCTCAGTTCAAGTCCCAAATTCCCATACTGTGTCACCTTGGATAAGGTTTTTTTGTTTGCTTTCTTTTCAGTACCGGGGATCAAACTCAAGACCTTGTGCTTGCAAGGCAGGTGTGGTGCCACTGAGCTAAATCCCCCCACAGCTGGATCAGGTTTTTTACTTAAATCTAAGCCTGAGTTTACCTATCTGTCAAAAAGAGAGATAAACTCAATGGTTACTGAGAGGATTAAGTAATGTATCGTCTAGAGGAATGATAGTAAACCTTTTAGAGACCAGATGCCCAAACTGCAACCCAAAACTCACTTATTTATTGCAAAGTGGCAATTCTGCAATTAAGCCTGAAGACTCGACACCCCAGCTGCTGGGGAGCTGCTGGGCTCATGTACCGATGAGGGGCTCTGCGTGCCATATGTTCACCGTCCCTGGTATAGAGCATTGCTCCCACTTGTTAGCAAATTCCTGGGCACTTAATTAATGGTACTGATGATGATGGGCACTTTTATTATCAGTGTTACCATCCAGTGTGCTACGATCTAGGCCAAACTGTCAAGTCAGTTAAGTTTGTTTTTAGTTTCTCACCATCTCCCGCCGAAGCTTGCTTTTCATCTGAGGACCTGGGATGCTGCTTCCTAGTTAACAAAAGCTGTCTCCATAATACTACACCTAGTTCTACCTTCTGAGGTAAAAACACGCCATCTCCGAAACTTCCTCCCTTCTCCCTGCATTTCTTCCTCCCTTGCTGCGCTGCTCCCTTCTTCCATTTCTTCCTTCTGTCTTCCTTCCTTTGTCCTCCCTTGGCATTCTGATACAGCTAATCTATCAGAGCTCAAAAAATGCCTCTTGCTTAGAGTTCGTTGTTAAGGGGTAATCACTGGTTGCTTGCACTGTGCTTGGAAACAAGCAGCGAGATACCTGCCTCCAGTGGGTTGTAGCAGGAAAATGGTAGCTTAAGTATATTCATCTCAACAAGAAAAACATGGAGATGAAAGAGGAGCATCATATAGCTCAAATGTATTCTCTTTAAAAAGTATTCCTCATTCAGGCAACACATCAAATAAAAAACTTTCTTACAGTGCAATAATTTGGAGGCGTAGTTAATAAACATTATATATACATGTAAATACTATGCAAAGAATTTAATTAAGCAGTGCTTTTATCTTTGCATACACATTTGTTTGGCTGACTGAGTGGTGGAAATCACAAGGATGGTAGGACCAGGGGATGGGAGCATGACTTAATAGCAACTACATAAAGTTTTGTTTCATCAGTGGCAATAAGATATTTAGTTTGTTCAAGCAGTCTATAGCCTATAAAGAAATGTGGCTTACAATAATAATAACAACAGCAATAATAAACAATAATGAAACAATTAGTAGCTATTGAACCAAAAGACTATTCTAAGAAGCCAAACAATATTAGCATAAGTTGAAAATTACAACTCACTCGAACTGATAGTGAAGCCTGTCCTCTCTGACATGGGACTGCTCACCCCCTGCAGGGAAGGTGGATGACACATCTGGACGTGGATGACAGCCTGTGTAGCTAGGTGTTGCCTAATCAGGTTCCTCAAGAGTGGGACACTGGTCTACGCAACAAGGACTTCCGAGGTGTGAGACCAGCAGAGCCCTCACTTGGACATTATTTCTCAGATGCTCTTCTGAAACTAAAACTTCTAGCATGAGAAACTGAAAGTGTAAATAAGGATCAAAATGTATAATAGATAATGTAAAATAGGAAGAAAAGGTCCAAAGGGGAAGGTGAAGTGGGAGGGTAGGGGAAAGGAAAGAAGGGAAAGGAATAAATGTGAGAAAAGGAAAAAACGGAAACAAAGTCTTTGTAAATAGGGAGGGCAGGGGAAGGGGGAAAGAATAAGAATCAAGATACATCGTGTACAGGTACAAGTTCCCAACGATGACTGTAACTGTATTGTATACCTAAAATGTACCAATAAACTTAATGAATTTTAAAAAAAGGCAAGAACTTGGCCAGCATCTAACACCAACTTTTTTCCACCAATAGTAAAAGAGGAGGACTCCGCTTGCTGAGATGCCTGTGTGAGCAATGTGATCTGTCACTTTGTTTCCCACCTATTTAGCCCTTCATCCTGTAAGGCTCAGTCCTCTACTTCTCATAAAGGTGTCAGATAAAAACAAAGGTGACTTCTCACAGCATTAACAGCAAACCAGAACAGTGCCTATAAAGAATTTCTTAGAAAAACAAAACATTTTTCCATTTAAATTATATAGGATACTTTAAGGTGCTAGCCAAAGCAGCAAAGTATTTTACATTACAACATTAACTTTTTATCCTGAAAATCAATATATTTTAAAATAATATATATTGTACTTTCTCTAAGCATGAAAATAGTATATATTCATCCATCTACACTTGAAAAGAAAAAATCATACAAAGGAGCAAAAAAGATTATCCATAGTTTTGCCGGAGAGAACTATTAGTTAACATTTTGATGGATTTCCAAATATTTTCTTTGTTCTTACTATTAATAGCATCTCACATCTCCTTTTACTCATTTAGCAATATAGTTCCTCAAATCATTAAATTTAAAAATTCTTCAATAAACATAGAATGTTCTATTAAAGCCTATTAAAACAATTTAGCCAAGTATCTATTGTTAGAGATTATTGCCATTGTTTTATAATTATAAAACTATTTAATATATTTAATAATTATAAAACTATTTAAATCATTTTTCATACATATTTATACCTTAGGAATAATTCCTGAAATTGGAATTGCTGGGTCAAAATGCATATACTTTTTAGAAGCTCTTGATATTTGTTTCTCAATCTCCCAAACAGAAAGTACCAATTGCCAATTTCACCAATAATGATCGAAAGGCCTATGTCGCTGCATTACTGCCAACACCACCAAAATTTTCCACCCTTCTTTCTGTCTTGATAGTTTAGCAATTGACAGGTGATGGCAAATACAGGCCTTTCTGTCTTAGTAGACGTGCTTTCCTTCTGTGAATTTCCTGCTATACACTCCATATTCTTCTACTGGCATGGTGGTTACCTCTTACTGATTTGTAAAAACTCTTTATGTACACAAGTACCAATCCTTTGTCCTGTACATGTTGCAGAATTTTCTCCAGAGTTCCAGTTTTTCTTTGCTATAGTGTTTATTGTTTTGTTGTTGTTGCTGCTGCTGTAAATATTTCCATGTTACTTGGTGTATTTCTTAAAAAATTAATTTTAATTTTTTTTCAAATCCTAAAATATTAACTCTAGGATTTGGAGACATTCTACATTAAGCTTATAATTTAATCTGTCAAAAAGCATCAGCATCTTTATATTTAATCTTCTGCTCAAATATTTGCACTGATTTTACACTTATCAGTTTTTTATTCAGTCCATACATATTATGCTTTCCCTTCTGATACATCCCTGGAAGGATGGTTAGCTATTGCTCACTTTTTGTTTATTCCTAAGTAATTTCTTTTGCTCTAGTTTCAGAGGAGTTGTTTGAGGCTACACTTTGAAACTGGTACTTACAAAAACTGCTGTTGGTTCTAATAAACACACAATTAGTAATCTAGAGAGTTGACTTTCTTTCTTAGACTTAGGAATTATCTATAGAGTACTGCTTTCAAATTTCCAAAATTTTTGGTGGGATGATTTTTTTATATTTTGTGAATAATTTCTACTTTTTATTGCACTATATCACAGAATGTGGACTCAAAACTTCTGTGTGCCTGGGGAATAAAAGCACATAGCACATGATAGGTATCTGATAAATCAACCTTCTAAATTATATTAATCCTTTTTATGTCCTTAATATGAAAATGACTGATATTTTTGTTTATATAAACATGAGAGTTGTTATTTTGCTATTTTCCTTTAGAAGGGTGTGGTGAGCTGCTTGAATGCTTTTAATCTCCAGCTGGATGCACATTCTTCTCAGAAGCATTAAACTGGAGTAGTTACCAATTGAGCAAGAGCGGTAGAGGAAAGGAAAGAAGGTGAGCTTTCTGTGTTTTCTCTCAGAAATGTAATTGCACGTGTCAATGCGCCCACGGCTGCCGAAGCTGCCAGGCTTGGTCAGACCCTCACGCTTGGCACCACCATCTTTACCAGGAAGGAAACCCACCCGGGTGGCAGGCATAGTCCTTGTACCCCTGCAGCTGCCCTTCTCTTTGGTGCTGCCAGGGTCCTTCTTAGAGCTAAAGGGCTGTGAGCTGTCACAGGCCCATTCTTCTGCTTTCTCTTCAGCTCACCCATGCTTCTAACTCTTCCAACCCTGAAAATCTAAAGTAATCTCTTAATTTCCATCAGGCCATTCCTTTTTTCATGGCAAATACACTCAGAAAACTCCTGATGACTTTCGCTAATATAGCCCCACATAGCAAATTCTTTGAATTTTGTGATCTGGATGGTATCCTTCCCTAGATTTAGGAACA